ATTTCGCCAAGTCAGGGGACGATATTCATCCATCCTAGAATGCTGAGTTAAGTTTATTGGAGTTACTTTCCTAAGTAAACTAGGGTGACTTGGACTCAAGAACCATATAAATTAGATCTGAGACTGGTTACGCGTAGACGATACGCCTCACCTGATTACCGACTACACATGAGCGTTCCAATGACAATGAAGAATGATGATAGTTCACGTCAGGAAGATCAGTCGGAATACATTCCAGATTGATGCTCCAACGTGTGTACAGGACGATTTAGCGGCTAGATAGTGTCTAGCAGACACTTACGGTTGAGGACTGCAGGACTTGACGGTCTATGGCCTACACTGTGGTTGAATCAGAAATTATCAAAAAGATGAATGATTGAATCACTGATGGTCAAGAAGATGAATGGGTCGATCAATAATGGTCAAGAAGATTCATGGTAAGCTCAAATATGTTCGAGAAGATGAACATAGCTATTCCAATCGACACGCAACGGCTCTCAGCAGGGGTTCAGAGCGAAGTTGCCTAGATTCACAACGAGAATCTTGCCGTCAGTATATTTGAGGTGCGCAAGGTCAGCTCCACTAATGGGCGCTCCAATCTTTTCAATCAGTGCGTCCAACTTGTCTACGTCAGTGACAGTGATGTCGCCATTTGAAGAGTCGTAAGTGTATTTAACATCCTTCACGTTACCACCTCCCGCGTCTCCGCCAGGGGGAGTGTATACAGCGTAAATGTCGGCTGTCGTTGAGCTTGTGATGACGATTTCGACTGCAAAGTCGCCGAATATGGTAGACCCTGAACCACAATACTTGCCGGATGGCTGGGCGTCCAATAGACCGCTAAGGGCGAGAAGAAGAAAGACCAAGGAGTACTGACGCATTTCGTATTATACCTTATCAACTGAGGAAAAGCTCTCGGTTATGGCCGAGTTCATGATGGACTCACAAAAGCGCGAGGGGGGAACCGTTCGTTGAACAGATAGTTCATCCGGATCCCACTGGGATCATCCCAGTCTTATCGGGATCCAACGTAACGCCAGAGACAGGCGCAGAGATACGCGCATAGTAATAGTGCAGGCCCTGCACTTCAGGGAATAGCATTTTATATAGCTATGGAAGATGCGTGAGCATAGTTTGCCACGCAATCTGGACCCGACTCGCGGATTCGATATATCCCGAGGATCTCATCAA